CCAAATTCAGAATCCACCCCCCCAGATTAAAGAACAAATACACCTGTGCATTCCTAAGCATGCATGTAAGCAAGCAAACAAAATGTGGGGAAAGAAGACAAAAAAAATGTGCAGTTCAGCATTTTATTTTGTCATAAATGAAAGCAATAGCAGCTAAGCAACACCAGATGATATGTGACTATTTTTTGTAAGAGACTTTTTTTGGAGGGTTTTTTTGTTTCTTCAAAAAGTTTAATGCTATTTTAATTCTTCTAAAAAATAAACTGCTATAAAGTATTTTTAATCAATATAAATGTATTTACGGTTTTAAAAAATAAACATTCTAGCCATTGTCATTAACTGGCACTGTTATTAGCTTCTTGGCTGTGGGACTAGGTACAACACACTGCACGCTAGCATTTCTGGTTATTCCAGAGCAGAGATTTTAACCAGAACACAGACATTGTTGCTCCTCGCAAAACAAACAAAAGGTAAAGACTTCATGCTTTTCAAGCTGAGCAAAAGCTCAGACAATGGCATTGCGCAGGTAAGTCGCATAGTTATACAAAGAAATGGGAAGTTCTGGCAGTCAGACAGCATCCTCGTAAAAATTGCACAATCAAGTTCCAGACTGATCTATTGAGCCACCCTGATCTTTGATGGTTATTAGATCTGTGTAGATGTAGACCACACCTGCCAAGCTAACTACTTGCCAAGGCAGAACACCTTACAAAAGTAATGCTGATTCCTTGAGCAGCAACCAGTGAGTTGTGGCCTCACTTTACTGTCACAGAAAACTTTTGTCCTCTGGCCGCTGATTTGTAGGATTTGTGTTCTTGCGAGGACGGAAAAAAGAGGAAGCACAATAAGGAAGAGGAAAAAAGAACATCTGGGCTGAGAAACTGGAACTGAGCAGGCTCTTATCACAGGAGCTGGACTTCATCTTACTGAAACCAGCAAGTTTAAGGCTTGTTTTTCATTTAAGTTAGTTGCCCAGTTCGTTAAATATGTATATCTATGTAAAACAAGAACGAATGAGTGCAAGCGCCGAAGGTATTTTTCTACAAAAAGATACCCAAGAGAAGTCACAGAATCAGAGATAAAAAACTTGCGACAGCCTGAAGAAGCCCATATCTCAAAAGCAGCTTTCACCCCTTGGCACATCTGCACTCTTTAAAGAGGCAGAGCCACGCCTGCTGTTCAGGGTGACAGTCCTGGCTTCTCTTGAATAGTAGGCGAAAAACAATTCCAACCTGGAGATGATACCGTCTTGCCGTCTTGCAAGCCCTTGTTACAGCTTTGATCCTCTGTAGTGACCTCACTAACATCAGCTCAAGGCTCAGGGGTGGTCATATAGAGCAAACAGAAGGTTAAGAAACTTTAGCAGAACAGAGCACACAACCACTAACAGATATGCTGCTTTGTAAACTCATACTATGCACATGCCTGAACACTGTCATTCCAACCCTTCCCATATCAGAAAGGATATAGCTGAAAAAGGTCAGAGAAGCTAACAAAGATGACCAAAGAATAACTAAGAATAACTAAGTGATTGAGGAGTATTCAGCATACAAAAGGGTGTCGAGTAGTAGTTAGACAGAGATCCGTAGAGTAGCGTGGGTACCACCACTGGCCACAGTCTCTCTCAACGTGAGAGCAAAGGGTTATAAAATGAAATTAGCAGTGGGCAGGTTTTAAAGAAAACTCGTTTCTTCACAAGATACACAACTGGGCCAGAAGTTTCTTTGACAACTTACTAAGCGCCTCGTGCATGCTAAAACTTTCCGCGGTCTGAAGGGGCAACCAGGCACGCTCATGGAAAAGACATCCCCTGGAAATAATAATTAAGCGCAGAGGCTCTTTCTCTTCCTCAAGAAGGCCCTGCAAGGCAAACTGTTGGGACCGGAAAATATTCTGCACAGCAAGCTGAAAGCAACACTACGCTGCCTTTACCCCCACGCTTTTGCGAGACGTCTGCTGCTGTTTTGCTTTCCCCTCCCTGCGATGCCACCCGCCCCGCAGGGACGCCAGCCCGGGGCCTGCTTTAAATTCAGTCCCGGGCTGCCGACTCAGCTCGACCGAGCATCGCCAAGGGAGGGGAGAGGAGAGGAGTGGCGAGGACAGCAAAGCGGGCCGCGCCGGGCCGGACCTGGCT